TATTATTTAAAAGAAGGTAAAACAACAGAGAAGTTTCTGTGCTAACATATACAATTGGCTAATATATACAAACATATACAAATAATGTAGGAAGTTTCTACATGCAGACAGGTTCACAAGAAATGCACCAAAAAGAAGCAAAGTGCACACTTGACAGAGTACTTCATATGGAAATCTAATAAAACTATTAGTGGGGTAGAATCATATAGTTCCATAATTTTTGCATACACTGTTCTCTTTGCCAGGATTATTATCACACCTCTTAAATAAATTTAATTCTCCTTCAGATTTCACTCAGATACCTCATCAGTTCATTTATTCATTCAACCAATAAATTTTTACTTATTACCAAATACTAGATTTTTTTTAAGCATTACTTATTTGAAAGGCTGAGTGAGAGAGAGGGAGAAACAGGGAGACAGAGATATTTTGCATCCATTAATTCAACACCCAAATGGCTGCAACACCTGGGGCTGGTCCAGGCTGAAGCCTGGAGCTTGAAACTCCATCTAGGTTTCCCAGATGGGTGACAGGGGTCTAAGTACTTGTGTCATCTTCAACTGCTTTCTCATTTGCATGAGCAGGGAGCTGGAACAGAAGCAGAGCTGTGGAGACTCAAACTGGAACTTGGGTATAGGATATCGGCATCACAAGTGGTACCTTATTCCTCTGTGCCACAACGCCAGCCCCTCCAGGAAATTTTTGAAGTACTTTCATATATAAATATCATCCCAGAAGGAAAGACATAAAAATTTTAAAGGACAATTATTTTTGAAGAGATAAATTTGGGGTAATTTCTCTATATCTGTGTCAGCTGTGACTCTATTTAGAGACCCTTTGAAAGTAATCAGGCATTTCTCTCATGCACACTTTAGAATCTTTATGTTTTACTGTGGAAAGTCTGAAAACAATGTATCATGGGGAGGATCTTTTCTGATCATGTCTACTAGGAGCTCTATGTGCTTCCTGCACTTGGATGTACCTTCCTTCCTCCAAACTGGGGAAGTTTTCTGTAATTATTTCACGAAATAGGTATTATAATCCAAACTCTATTTGTACATAAACTGAGATACATTAAAGATATATGTTGCAAAATCTAAATCAACAACTAAAATATCAACCAGTTGTAGATTAAAATGCCTAATTAATATGTTGCTTAAAACAAAGAGAAAAAGGAGGAAAGATCAGATGAGATAAATACAAAGTGGTAAAATGATAGACCAAGTACTATCAATAAATATACTAAGTGTAAATAGTATAAACACTATCATTAAAAAGTAGACATGTGATTGGTTTTGTATAAAGCATAATTCAACCATACATTGTAAGAAATTCAAACTAAATTCGGAGACATAGATTATTTAAAATTACAAAGATAAAAAAGATATATCCTTGTAAAAGGTGGGTATTTGGCACAGTGATTATGACTTGGCTTGGGATATATGCATCCCAAATAGGACTGCTTGTGTATGACTCCTAGCTCCACTTCTGATTCCAGTTTCCCACTAATGTACCCCCTCAGAGGCAGAAGATGATGACCCAAGTACTTGGTTCCCTGCCACCTATGGGGGAGACACTGAATTCTAGGCTCCCAGCTTCAGTGTGGCCTAGCTCTTGCTATGGCAGGCATTTGGGGATTGACTCAGTAGATGAAAGATATCTCTCTCATTCTCTCTCTCTGCCTTTCGAATGAATACATTTATTTATTCATTTATTTATTTGAAGGGCAGAGTTACAGAGAGGCAGAGGCAGACAGAGAAAGAAAGGTCTTCCATCCTCTGGTTCACTCCCCAGATAGCCACAATGATTGGAGCTGCACCAGCCTGAAGCCAGGAGTCAGCAGTTTCTTTCAGGTCTCCCACATGTGTGCAGGGCCCAAGGACTTGAACCATCTTCTACTGCTTTCCCAGGCCATAGCAGAGATCTGGATCAGAAGTGGAACAGCAAGGACTCAAACCAGATCCCATATGAGGAGCTGACACTGCAGGCAACAGCTTTACCCACTATGCCACCATTTGAAGCGCCAGCTCTTCAAATGAATACGTTTTTAAAAAGATATACCCTGTAATTGCCACCAAAAGACAAGAGTAGTATCTATATTAGTATCAGTTAAGGTAGATGTTAGAAAAAGGTATATACTAGGGGGCCAGCGCTGTGGCATAGCGAGTAAAGCTGCTGCCTGTAGCCATATGGGTGCCAATTCTAGTCCCTGAGGCTCCATTTCTGATCCAGCTCTGTGCTATGGCCTAGGAAAGCAGTAGAGGATGGCCCAAGTGCTTGGTCCCCTGCAACTGGATGGAAGACTGGAGGAAGCTCCTGGCTTCTGTCTTTGGATCAGTGCAGCTCCAGTTATTGCGGCCATTTGGGGAATGAACCAGCGGAATGGAAGATTTCTCTCTCTCTCTGCCTCTGCGTCTCTGTAACTCTGGCTTTCAAATAAATAAATAAATCTTTTTTAAAAAAGAGATAATGGTATATATTAGATATAAAGAGGGACTCTTAACAATGATAAGGTTGTCAATTATTCAAAAACTATGACAATCTTAATATGCATTTATCTAATAGTAGGGCTTCAAATCTAAAACTAATAGAACCAGAAGCAAAAATAAACAAATACACAATTACAGTTGGATACTCTATTAATTCTCCTCAGCAAGAGAAAAACTCATTAAAAATATGGGAGACCTAAATAACACTATCAACCAACTTTACTGAACTGACACATATAGAACAATCTACCAAACAGCAGAAGAATATCCATTTTTTTCAATTGCTAGTGGAATAGTGCCCACCCCACCAAAGAAAACCCCACATATTTCTGGCCAGAAAACAAGTCATAAAGAAATTTAAAAAATAAAATCAAGTAAAGTAATTCTCTGATCAAAATGGTATTAAACTAGAAATTAATAACAGAAAGATATCTACAAAAACATCTCTAAATATTTGGAAATGAAACAAAACACATGCTAACAATCATGGGCCACAGAAGAAATATTTTGAATCAAATGAAAATTAAAATATCAAAGTTTCATTGATAAAGCAGTGGTTAGAGGGAAATTTATGGCACTTCATGGTTATATTAAAAAAAGAAAACTTTAATGACCTAATCACACACCTTAGGAAAACAGAAAAAGAAGAAAATGAAACTAGAAGTAAAGAAAAGTAGGGCAAGAATAAAAAACAATGGTATGTCATTAAAATAGAAAATGAACAAGCAAAAGAAGGTAAAAGCCAATGAAGCAAAGGCTTTGAAAATTAATAACTTTTTAGAAGGACTGAACTAGAAAGAAATAAAAAGACAACAACCAAATCAGAAAGGGAGGAAATGATGTGACATAGACCCTATAGACATTTCTGGTTATCTCTGCTTTATTATCCCAGTCTGCTTTATTATCCCAGCAGTTCTTTATCTGAAAAATGGTACAAATTGATGACCTCTGTGGTCTCTTACAACTCTAAATACAATGTAAATGAATGTTAATATTGCAAAATATGAGTCAGGTACTATGTTAAAAGCTCTATTCTTTTCTATTAAATTTTGGTTTCAATCTATTGTTACTTAACAAAGCTCAACAGTGTGAAAACAGTCCATTCACTCCAGCTATTATTAAGTAAAAAAAATTGTTGGGCAAATTTGTAAAATAAAAAGCTAGAAAGAAAAATTCTATATTTAAATATAGAATCTGAATGTATTTAATCTCTATGGATATATATTAATTCATTGATTTGCATAATGGAATAAAAATAAAACAGGACTCATAGTAATAAAGTAATTTCATTATCAAGAAACTTCACTCTGTATATATCCCACATTTTCCTTATCCAGTTATCAACTGATGGACATCAGGTTAATCCCATATATTAGTGACTGTGACCTAACTGAGCTGCTATAGACATGGGGGTACAAGTAACTCTTTCATATGCTGATTACATTTCCTTTGGGTATATTTCCAGGAGTGGAATGGCTGAATCACATGGTAAATCTATTTTTAGATTTCTGAGGAAACTCCAGGCTGTCTTTCATAATGGTTGTACCAGTTTATATTCAGTCATAAAAAATTACAAGATCTTGTCTTTTGCAACAAAATGGATGCAACTTGAGACCATTGTGTTTAGTGAAATGTCAGTCTCCAAAAGACAAATATCACATCTCTGATTTATGGTAGCTAATATACAGAATATCAAAAAAATTTAATATATATTAGTGAAATTGACATTTTGGAATTTGATTATTATTTTTTTTTGACAGGCAGAGTTAGTGAGAGAGAGAGACAGAGAGAAAGGTCTTCCTTCTATTGGTTTACCCCCCAAATGGCCGCTTCGGCCAGCACACTGCACTGATCCGAAGCCATGAGCCAGGTACTTCTCCTGCTCTCCCATGTGGGTGCAGGGCCCAAAGACCTGGCCCATCCTCCACTGCCTTCCCAGGCCACAGCAGAGAGCTGGACTGGAAGAGGAGCAACCGAGACAATCCGGCACCCCGACTGGGACTGGATCAGGAGTGCCAGCGCCGCAGGCGGAGGATTAGCCTAGTGAGCTGCAGCGCTGGCCTGATTATTGTTTATAGACCTTGTCTATATTCCTGTTGAACAACATTCTTTCTACTTTTAACTTGTTGATATCTTTGTTTAGTGGACTACTAAGCCTGTGATTATAAAATAAAAATATTATCACAAAAGTTAAAGGAAAAAAAAAGGAAGGAAGGGAGAGAGAGGTAGGGAGGGAAGTATAGTTATTTTATTAGGATTGTAACTATGAACTACTTGAAATCTGTTCTTTATATAAATAAACAAATAAATAGCATTTACACAAATATTGCCTTCATTTTAAACAGACTCCCTTTAAAATTTTCCAAATGAGTGGCTATCTATTATTGCTCTGAATACCTATAATCATTTGCAGCTTGCTATTTCTTGACTTAACTCTATGTTTGAATGGTTCTATTAAACATTCATTCTCAAATTAAAAAAAAAAAAAAAACAAAAGGAAATTTCACTTACTAGGTGCTGTTTCCTCTCATGAAGATTGCCACAAAGGGTGATGCCACAATGAACCTAATCATGCTAAGGAAGAACATGAAATTGCATTGTAAGATTGTCAAAGCTTTGAAATACACATGCCATCAAAGACAAACACATTTTGCCTTAAGCTAGGATCCAGTCAATAAAGTACCTTTGTTAAAAGAGCCACTTTTCAATATACTTATTTTTAAGAGTATGAAATCAATGGTTCCAACTACTCTAGATACACGTTCCCATGTGTACCTAAAGTAATATTTTCTCTAGAAAATTATAAAACAAAATTTGTAAAATTACTAAACATAATATGTTGGTTGTAGTCAATTCTAATTATAAGTAATTCTTTTAGGATTTGCTTTTAAAAAGAATTTGAGAAATATGTTACTAAAATCAGATAAAATGCTAAGCTGGAAACTAAAGAATGTGTGATTAATAACAGATATTTGTTTCATGAACTGCAAAATGCAGTCTGTCCTCTTATCCCCAAGGAACAGTTGTGCTATCTCTTTTCCAACTAAAGAAGGTACTTGATAAGCTTCCCATCTACCACCTTGCTTTTGCCTAAAATTATGCGTTGGTTGTATAACTTCTTGAATATCAACACCCATGTTTATATCTATGGTTCTGAATTTCTCTTGGTATAGTTTAGATATGGTTTCTCCCTCACGGGTTCATATACTGGATGCCTGGGCCCAGTGTGGCATGACTGAGATAGTGGTACCAAAAGGAGTGGGGCCTACTGAGAGGAGGTTAAATCTTTAAGAAGGATCAATAACTTTCTTGTGGGAGTGCATTCTTGCTCTCCAGGGAAGTCCTCAGAAAGTAGGTTGATATAAGCAGGCCTGGTTACTCTTCTGAATCTCTCTTACTTCATTGCTCACACATGGCCCTCTCCGGCACTCAGACATTTATGTTTCTACTTCTCTACCATGCTGTGACACAGTGAAGAGGAACTGGTCACACACCAGCATCAGGGATTTTGTTACAGTAGCACAACATGGACTAGGACAATCTTTACCTCTGCACATAACTATCTTTCTCATGGTTTTTGCCTTAAACTACAATCTTGGGGCCTGCACGGTGGTTAAGCTTCCTGAGCCTCTACCTTTGACACCAGCAACCCATATGGGCACCGGTTCATGTCCCCGGTGCTCCTCTTTTGATCCAGCTCTCTGCTAATGGCCTGGGAAAGCAGTAGAAGATGGCTCAAGTGCTTGGGAGACCTGGAAGAAGCTCCCAGCTCCTGGCTTTGGATCAGCTCAGCTCTAGCCGTTTCAGTGGTTTGGGGAGTGAACTAGTGGATGGAAGACCTTTCTCTGTCTGTGACTCTCTCTCTCAAATAAATAAATAAGAACCTTAAAAAAAAAAAAACTCACTACAATCCTATTTTTTTTCTTCTACTATCAAATCCCCCCAGTTATTTTATTTAAGTTTCACTAATTCATTCCTTTTTAAATGTTTTTTTTTTTTTAATATACTGACTTTATTTCTATTGGATATATAGCTAATAGTGGAATTGCTGGATCATATGTTAATTCTATTTTTTTTTTATATATCTCCATAATATTTTCCATTATGGCTATATTAATTTACATTCCCACCACAGTTTATAAGGTTCTCTTTTTTCCATATCTTTTTTGTAAAAACAACTTTATTTAAGGTATACAAATTTCATGTATTTTATATATACAGATTCAGGAACACAGTGATACTTACCACCCTACCCTTCCTTCCACCCATGATCCCACTTCATCACAACTCTGAAGTAACTAAATTTCTTTATACTGAATTGAACAGTGTCCCTTAAAAGTTCATGCCCACCCAGAAACTGTGAATGTAACCTTATTTGTAAATAGGGTCTTCACAGATATAACCAAGTTAAAATGAGGCCATACAGGATTAGAGTGGGCCCAGTGTCCTAATAAGAAGAGGCAAAGTCAGTCATGGAGACACAGACACACACGGAGGGAACATGGATGTCTGAAGAAAGAGGTGGAAATCGCAGTAGTGTAGCTGATGGTCATAGAATGCCACAGACTCCTTGCAGCTATGAGGCAGGAAAAGATTCTTCCCTAGAGTCTTTGGAAGGAACAGGTCCTTGTTGACATCTTGGTTTCAGACTTGTGTCGCTCACAACTTTGAAAGAACAAGTTTCTCTTGTTTGAAGCAGTGTGTTAATTTGTTTCTAGGTAACTAGCACATTCTCCTAATCACAGAATTCAGACCATCCATATTCCTCATTTTCCTTGGCTTAAGGAAGGTATAACTGAACTTTTTATAATAAAGTCTCTGCATTTGATTTTAAGAAACCTCTAATATCCTTGAGAGTTCTCTCCCTCTTTCACCTTACTGTGAGCTTAACCCACAGTCTTTTGCTCTTCTCTTCATTCTTTCCCCTGTAGGGTCCACTTCTTCTCTTTGGATTTCAACCCTTGTTTCTTATCCTTCTTCTTCTTTTTCTAAGGAATTTATTATTATAATTTTAAAAGATTTTATTGATTTATTTGAGAGGTAGAGTTATAGACAAAGAGAGGGAGACAGAGAGAAAGATCTTTTATCTACTGGTTCACTCCCCAAATGGCCATAATGGCTGGAACTGGGCTGATGTGAAGCCGGAAGCCAGGAGCTTCTTCTGGGTATCCCATGAAGATGCAGGGGCCCAAGTACTTGGGCCATCTTCCTCTGATTTCCCAGGCCACAGCAGAGAACTGTATCAGAAGAGGAACAGCTAGACACAAACTGGCGCCCATATTGGATGCTGGTGCCACAGGCGGAGGCTTAGTCTACTAACTCACAGCACTGGCCCCTAAGGAATTTATTAATACATTAGATTCTCAGGGTCATAGCAAATACATGACAATTACTAAACACAATTCTCAGGTTAATTGATGTTACTACAGAGAACAGATTCAGTGTAGTTCACAGATACAATTCTTTTTTTATTTATTTTTTTTGATAGGCAGAGATGGACAGTGAGAGAGAGAGACAGACAGACAGGAAGGTCTTCCTTCCGTTTGTTCACTCCCCAAATGGCCGCTATGGCTGGTGTGCTGTGGCCAGCACGCTGCGCTGATCTGAAGTCAGGAGCCAGGTGCTTCCTCCTGGTCTCCCATGCGGGTGAAGAGCCCAAGCACTTGGGCCATCCTCCACTGCCTTCCCGGGCCACAGCAGAGAGCTGGACTGGAAGAGGAGCAACCAAGACTAGACCCCGGCGCCCATATGGGATGCCGGCACCGCAGGCAGAGGATTAACCAAGTGAGCCACGGCGCCGGCCCCAGCTGGGTACTTTCTAAAAAGAGGTTTACTTAGTTCATAGTTTTGGAGGTTGAAGTACAAACAACATAGTGCCAGCTCTGCCTGGGGCCCACCAACCACCCAGCTACATGACATCACACTGATGACATCTGGTGGGAGTGTGTAAGAGTGATCACATGGGCTGGCGCCGCAGCTCAATAGGCTGATCCTCCGCCTGCGGCACCGGCACCCTAGGTTCTAGTCTCAGTCGGGGTGCCAGATTCTGTCCTGGTTGCTCCTCTTCCAGGCCAGCTCTCTGCTGTGGTCCAGGAGTACAGTGTAGGATGGCCCAAGTGCTTGGGCCCTGCACCCCATGGGAGACCAGGATAAGTACCTGGCTCCTGCCTTTGGATCAGCGCAGTGCGCTGGCCACAGCGAGCTGGCCGCGGCGGCCGTTGGAGGGTGAACCAACAGCAAAGGAAGACCTTTCTCTCTCTCTGTCTCTCTCTCACTGTCCACTCTGCCTTTCAAAAAAAAAAAAAAAGTGATCACATGACAACACAGGAAGCCAGAGTGAAGAAGAGTGTGATATTCTGAAGTCAAAGACACTATAGATATAGTTGAAAAGTGGAAGGTTGTTCAAAGTGTCAGTTTCACTGCTATAGACTACATTTTAGGTACTCTATTAGTTACCACAGATCAAGAAAATATATGGTATTTGTCTTTTGTGACTGACATATTTCATTAAGCATAATGGTTTCTAGTTGCATCCATTTTCTTATTGAGGAACAATATATTTTTTTCTTTTTTTCACAGTGGTCAGTGAACTCTCTACTTAGTGTAGGGTTAAGTGGTTAAGATGCTTGGGTCCTATATTGGAGTACTTGGGTTTGATGTCTGACCGGTTCTTGACTCTAGCTTCCTGTTAATGCAGAGCATGGGAGGCAAAGGTGATGATTGGATTCTTGCCACCCATGTCGGAGACCTGGGCTGAATTCCCAGTTCTCAGTTTGGGCCCAGCCCCGCACTGGCCACCATAGGCACTTGAGGAGAACTAGTTGATAGGAACTCTCTTTTTAACTGTCAAATAAATAAAACTTTTTTTTTTAATGAAAAAGGGGTTTGTCACCAGAGCTCTTTGGAGAAATAGACCTGCCATGATGTATATGTATATTTGTATGTGTAAGTATATGCTTTTAAGATGTTTATCTCAAATTATTGGTTCATGTGGATTGCAGGGACTAGCATTCTGAAACATATAGGAATGGCAAGTCTGAAATTTTTACAGTGAGTCAGTTTACAGGCCAGAAAGTCAGAAACTCAGGTAGAAACTGATGCTGGAGTCTTGAGACATTTTTCCTTCTCTAGGAAACCTCAGTTTTTGTTCTTCAGGACTTCCAGCTGATTGGTGTGAGGTACAGCACGTTATCTTCTTTCAAGTCAACTGCTGTAGCTGTTATCACTTCTTCCCCTCCCCCCAAATAAACCATTTATTTCATGAGTACAAATTTTGTAAGTACAACTTTAGGAATATAGTGATCCCACCGCCACTCCCTCTCCAATACCCAGTCCCATTCTTCATTAGAAAAACAACAACTAAACTGTTCCTTGACAGTCAGACAAGGGCTGTTCAAGTCATTGCTCTCAAAGTGTTGATTTCACTACTACAGATTTCCTTTTATATACTCTATTAGTTATAACAGATCAGGGAGAACATGTGGTATTTGTCCCTTTGGGACTGGCTTATTTCACTAAGTATGATGCTTTCCAGATTCATCCATTTTGTTGCAAATGACCTGATTTCATTTTTT